TGGTTTCCTCTCTGAGGATGATAAATTGCGTGGCGTTTTCATACAAAAACTCAAAGGAAAAGCTTCTATCGAAGCTGCACTTTCCTCTACGAAAGTCAATGTCACATCAGATGTTGTTTACAGAGTTTTGAATAAGGGGAATTTAGGTGGAGAGGCCATGGTCACTTTCTTTTCATGGGCAATAACACAACCTAGTTGCCCCAAGGACCTGCAAAATTACAATATTCTACTTAGATCACTGGGTAGAAGGAAATATTTTGATCATATGGAGAGGGTTTTGCACCATATGAACAAAGAAGGCCCAAAACCTAGCCTTGAGACTATGTTAATTGTGATGGGAAGCTATTCTAGGGCTCATCGAGTATCCAAAGCAATTCAGTATTTTGAAAATTTGGAGGAGTTTGGTTTACCCTCTGATACTGGTGCTTTCAATGTGTTCCTTAAGAGTTTATCTGAAAGAGGGCATGTAAGAGTGGCAACTTCTCTTCTACACACATTTGAAGGCAAGATTCCCTTCGATACCACAACATATACTATACTAATCGGTGGGTGGTCCAGATTGGGTCGAATAAGTGAAACCGAGAAAATTTGGGCTGCAATGCTTTCTAATGGATTTCAACCTGATTGTTCTACTTTTAATTATTTGCTTGAAGGTTTGGGTAGGGCGGGGAGAATTGATAATGCCATAGCGGTCTTTGAGAGCATGGGAGAAAAAGGTTGTCCCCCAAATACCTCTAGCTACAATGCAATGATATGTAATTTTATTTCTTGTGGTGCCTTAAATGAATGTGTAAAATACTATGCTACTATGTCTGAAAAACATTGTGCACCAGATATTGTTACTTATACCAAAATGATTGGAGCTTTTATAAAGGTTTGTAGAGTTGCTGATGCCTTAGAAATGTTTGATTCCATGTTGGGAAGAGGGGTAATTCCCAGCACTGGAACATTAACATCTTTCATTGAACCATTATGCAAATTTGGTCCACCTCATGCTGCCTTGGAAATTTATAGGAAGGCAAAAAAGGTGGGTTGCAAGTTCTCAGTTAAAGCATATAAATTGTTGCTTGGCCGATTAGCTAGGTTTGGGAAATGTGGAACTGTGTTGAGAGTTTGGGATGACATGAGGACAGATGGGCATTCTTCTGACAAAGAGGTTTATGAGTGTGTTATTGATGGATTTTGTAATATAGGTCAGCTGGACAATGCAGTGCTCGCTTTGGAGGAGGCACTGAGCTTAGGGTTTTGCCCCAACAAAGTCATATACAGCAAGCTCAACTGCAAGTTGTTGGATGCAAGTAAAGTTGAGTTGGCCTACAAGCTTTATGTGAAGATAAAAGAAGCACGTAGAAATGAACTTTCCAGGAAGTATTGGTTTGCAAATGGTTGGCATTTCTGAGAAGGAAGACTCCTTTCACGGGTATTATTCCATATATCTATACTAAGTTAGGCATGCTCATGAATAATTTACAGATTATAAAGTCTAAAGCACAAGCACGCTAATTTCTCACAAAGGTCATTCTTTTTGTATTTTGATGGTGGTTATTTGATTTTGAAACCTGGGGTTTCTAGATGGTGAGCACTGTGACACAGTGCTATAAGTTAAAAAAGCACAAACTTTTAAGTGTATATTTACCTGTAAACACTATTGTATATATGTTTGTTGATGTCAATGATATGGCTTCAAAGATATAACTGTAGTTTTAGAGGGAAAAAATTCAAGAAACTTGTTCATTATCAGTTCTAAAGATCAATTTACTAAGCATGATTAAATAGCCTGAAATAGATTCATCATTAAGTTATAGGATGTTAATCCAGAAATTGTATAGCACTCACAGTCTGCATTGCTATGTGTTCGGCCCTTTTGCATATACTCGTGGATCATTGACACAATAAAATAAAAGAAATAAATAATATGCCGTTGTACCATTATGGGCAAAAACGAGGAGGGTTCATATTTGTTAGGCAATTTCGTGTGATCACACAATGAGTAAATCATCAAAACAATGTCATGCAAAGGGGAACATCCATCTTTTCTGTTGGCAAACTTGTAGGCATTGGCCGTGCTATGGTTGCATGACTAGTCTCCACTCAGGTGCCTCTTGGAGTGCCTTGCCCATGCTTTGGTAGCTCAGTGACTGTATGCGATACTTTATTTATATATATTTTTCAGTTATTTGTTTTCATTAATATCTGTTTTTCAATTCTATGCAATAAAAAGCAAGTTTGCTAGTTTGTATAAATTAGTTACCCAGTTCTATGTGTCATGGTGTGTATATTTTCCTCTCTATCTTTTAGCTTTTATAGTTTATAACCCTCATGTTGACCAGCATGGAAATGATATTTTGGTGCTCTCTCATCTTTCAAAAAATTAAGCGCTTTTTCGCATATATTAATGTCAACAATTTGTAACTCTTTGTATGCTGCCTATTATTTCATGTTCTTTGTTCATCTTCTTTTGATGCCAAATATGTTGACTATTTGCTAATTCTCTCGGACATCTATGATCTCATTTCATTGTAAAGATGTTATTTAATAGATCCTTAAGAAATTGGTGCTGAATAGTGAAACAAATGGTGTTAATCTGAGATGTTTATGCAGGCGTTTTCTGCTAATTGATATGTAATTCAGTGGGTGAATCTCCATATTACAAAGGGTTTGACCAATCAACACCTATACCATGTCTGAAAAACCGATTTCTTCAAGAAAGTATACCTATATTCATGATGAAGATGACACAGGCTTCCAATCAATTGACTCTCACCATATTATGGTTCCGAAGAGTCGCTCAAGGCAATTCCTGTTATATTCTTCCTTCCTTGTTTTAATGGCACATGTTTGCAGCTTACTCTTAGGGAAGGTATGTGTTTTAAAACTGAGATGCTAGTCTGATGCATGCTTTCTGTTGAAATGCTCGCTCTTTCTATATTCTCCTTGTAGTTACCAGTTGCTAACAATGTTATTATGCAAATAGCAGGAAGAGTGGAGAATTGTATTTCCTTGGAACTCTCTCACTTTTGTCATCCTTGCTGCGGCATTGCATTTGAGATCCATAGAAAAAGGTGCCATATGGTTAAGCTTATTTATTATCCTTAAATTACTCTTGCAATTCTTCTGCCTATTATTCTTTTTCTTTTTCCCTGTTTTCCCATTGGATGTTTAGTGATGTGTAAAAAAGGAGTAAACTTAAATGAAATGCTTGAAAAAACATAGAGTAAACTTAGATACAATTCAGATTAAATTCACGACGAGATCATGAAAGCCAAAGTTCTTGATCATTCTTTAGTGATCCTTCCCCTGTCTAGAGAATCTGCCTCCAACAGAGTATACTTCTGTTTGATGGTGACTAAGGAAGAATCTAATGGATGTTATATACGTCAACACTCCCCAAGCCTTTTTGCAGTCCATATATGATGGTCCAACGTGATGGTTTCTCCACTTTAACAGCATATGTGCTTGAAGTATTTATAAATATGCCATACATTTACAGTAATGTTTTTTTGTTTTCCTGATAATTGGTTATGTGATACATGAAGCCGACTATTTCTTTGGCTTCTGCACGAACATTAGTTAATCCCGCTGCTAACTCCTTACATTTGTCTATTATGATTTAAGTGGTGTTGATTCCCTTCCCCATGTGTTACGGGGATTTGACAGAAATTGTTTTATTCTTGATGGGTGTGTCGACGTGTTTCTTCAAAGAGGTGTAGAATCAATATGCCAAGAAGTTGGAATGCTTTTACTGCAAAAACTAACTGTTTAGTTATTCTGGCGAACTTTTGTGCTCAATGTTATTTCCCATCCCTTTTCATGAGGTTCTGGTTTCTTACCCATCTTTTTCCTGCATATAATATTTTGTTTATTTAAGGTATATATTATGAACTATTCTGGAAGAATTTTTCTCTCTTCTCGTGTGGCTCGGGATAGGAGAGCTGTATTGCTATGAGTTCTCATAGCATAATGTTGTTCTGTCCTTATTACGTGTGACCTGGTGTGATGATTGTATGGTGCAGAGTCTGTTTTGATCATGCCAACGTTTGGGGTACAACTTGAAACACACTATAGAAGGTAATTTAACTGTTTTGTGAGAGGGAGCTGTTTCCTTTGTGTTGGATTAATGTGGCATTGTCTAATAATTTTGCGAGATGTGAAACCATTTCCAATCCTATTCTATCAGTTGATTTACGTATTTTAAAAGTAATTTGTTGAAGAAGAACAGAGTCATATTTTCATGAATGCATTTCATGTGCAATAGTTGTTAATAATTGTGCCTGTTTTAGAGTTTGATGTCACATTAATGGACTCAGAAGTTATGGTATGTTCAATTTTAAAAAACTATGTTTTATTGCAAATCCTTCTTGCCTTTTGGAGAGCCAAAAAACTATATGTAAAACTATCATTTAGATTTTTTGTGATTTGTACTAACTGTTTGGAGTTATTGCTTTTATTTTATGCCCTTTATATAAAACAAAATGAATGTTTTATCCATTGACCAAAATAAAACTGAAACTATTTAAAACTTACATATTAACTTTGTAGAAACTATGTGCTCTTTGTAGTGGGAGAATATGCCGGCGCTTCATTCCCATTAGCAAGATCTTGAAACCTGTGTTAAATGAATGTGTAACACCCACCACTTGTTACTGGAGCTTGGTTTTGATTTTACGTGGGGATAAAGAACTCACATTGGTTTTCCAGGTGAATTTTGATGCTTTTTGACCATTAATGTTGTTATTTGTTGATGCAATGCTTTTTTTGGGGCTTCTCAAGAAAAGATTTATGCGAATTCTGCTTATCGAGGAAAGACATTTTTGCAGGAATTACAGCCACCTCTAGAAATGTTGGTCTCTGTGTGGAAAGCCTTGTGCACAGCAGTTGATGGTGACACAACCACAGACTGCGGTATGGAAGTTGATTTCCGGGCTTCCATATTATAATGTGTCAACAGCCATTACTGTAAGTTAGCAGTTTGCCTATTGCTGTCTTGGTTGATGTAACTCAGTAAGGCTCCACATTGAGTCAACCTGGATCTTAGGCAACTCGACTCAGAGGCTCAAAATGGAAATTTTATAACTTCCGAGGTTGGAAAGAATGCTAGCCAGCGCCTAAGTGCTAGGTGGGTGCCCAGGTCTTGAGTTGCCTCAGACAGACATGTATGCATATATTTGAAGCTCAAATTCAATTATATGGATGTATATGTATTGTTTTTTTGTAGGGTTTGTCTAGAGTTAACAACCCCTCAAAATACAAAGATTAGTGTTAGAATGAGTTATGATGGGCGTATTTATTAAAAAATCATTACTTTTTGTTTACAAATTATTTTAATAGGGAGCTTTTTGTTTGAGTAAATATTTTAATAGGCAGTTTAATCATTAAGTAATGACAAATTTGAAATTTTCACAAAGTACAATGGTATTTTGGAAGGGAAAATGGTTTGATAGGGCTGCAGCCCTATTAAAATAACTAAATCCTTACTTCATAACTCATTGAAATTGCCAGTCAAGTAGTGGAAAACCTTTACATTGATCATCTCGACTTGAACATTGTGGTGGTGAAAACAGATTAGGATTTCAAGCTCTAAAAATAGTGTATATAGTAAGTTATCTAGACCGTGCATTTTGTTTTAAAATAAGTGTTCACATGTCCGCAAGATTTGTACATATTTTGAGTTTCAAATTTTATTGGCGGTGTTGAAAGTTGATTTTAGAGCCATCATAAAGATTTCCATTGCCAAGAGTACTTTCCGGACGAGAATTTGAGGTGAGGCTTTATTTTGTTTTTATAAAACTTGGGTCCTATAGAAACCTCATCCTTTTGAAAGTTAGTACCCTAAAACTTTATTACAGAGTGCCCTTGTGTTTTAGTAAAAATTTCAACTTTATCCCCTATAAAAATGACAAAAATACCCCGAGTTTTTTTAGTGATATTTACATAAACACTCATAGTTGACGGGCAAGATATACAAAAAGTAATTCTTTTTTTAAAAAAAAAACCACATAGTTAGTAAATTCACCTTTTACATCTCAATCTAACATTAACTTTTATAATTTGAAGGATTTTGAATTGTAGATTATCCCTTTTCTATATTTATGAATTTCTATGTACTCTTAACCAAGTATATATGCATTTACACTGAAAGATGCCTTGAATTCAATTGAACCACATTCCAGATTTGCAATAAATCAAAAGATATAATGATTGATATTCTTGATTCCATAAAACACTAAAATATTCATAAAGATTAAAGATCAAGTACGCAAATACAAACAAGACCACAACCACATGTCCATAATCCAGTTTTCATAGACTCCAATCTCCATTGTCCGTACAAACTCATAATGGCTAAATCCAAAGTTCAAACTCACAATTAAGTGAGAAATGAGAGTCATAAAAGTAGAATTTTTCAATAGATTAAAAGAAATCTAATAGGAATTAAGATTTCAATGATCATCATATTCAAACTACGAAGTTTTGGATGACTGTGAATCGTCGAAATCATCCTAAAATACCCCCTTATAACTTCTCTTGGCCTGTTGGCCTTTCCTGCTCTTGGGCATGGGTGAGATCTGTGCTTCTGCCTAGGCAGCACCCAGCCGGCTTAGGTGGGCACCCAGGGCTAGCCTGCCTGAAAAGGCCCGCCTGTCCTTAGGTGGTGCAGCCCCCCCCTGTCACCTAGATGGGTCGGGGCTGCCACCTAGGTGGAAAGGCTGGCTGTTTCTTGTGTCCATAATAATTTTGTTTCCAAAAGAGAAGAAAGTTCCACTTCTATGCTGGTAGGAGAAGAGCTTAAGAGGTTCAACTTGAGCAGGAATTCGGTATATATACAAAGCATCCTAAATTATGTAGGGAAAGAGTGTAAGAGGGAGTGTCAAGGCTATAAACAGGGAAAGTGCCTACTGTTTTAGATTATTTGGGTTTAGTCAACATCATGGTGTAAACAAACCACCATCCATACAAGAGTGAAACCGGAAGAGAAAGCAATTCTTACTTGTTCATTGGGCTTTGAATGCAATCCAGTACTTCTAGGGGTGTAAAGGGAGATGGTGGATTCCTTATTCTTCGAATAGGTGATTAAAGATTCCTTGCTATAAATAGGGAAAGCCTAGGTTATTGAGGTTTAGTCAATATCTTGGTGTAAAGGGAAAGTGTCAAGGCTATAAATAGGGAAAGTGCCTACTGTATTAGATTGTTGGGGTTTAGTCAACATCATGGTGTAAAGGGAGAAGACGGATTCCTTTTTTGAAGAATAGGTGATGTTCTAATAATGTAGTAATCTTCTTTCCTTGGTTAACAGATCTTTTATTTAAGAAAATAGAATGTTTTCACTTGAGTTATAGCGATTTTGGTAAATTGGCTTAAGTTGAAGGGGGACTAAGCTCAGTCTTATGTTGATTTGGCTGGACCTTGGTTGGTCTGTTACATAAACAGAGTAAAAACAACTTGTGACTTGGTTTGTTGCTCAGATATTTGATATGGATTAGTTTGAGTTGTTCACTAAATTAGACTTCTATCAGCTAACTTTGACAATCTTCTTATAGTTCCAAGAATTTGGTGGTTCTTTGAGAAATCTGGTGCTGTGGATGCAGATGGAATTCTGGGTGATAAACACTTCGCTACCAGAACAGCAGTATCAGATTCTGCTGGCTAAAGATCAGAAAGGAAAGTGCCCCTGATCTATTGGGTGATTGTTCTACCACCATTATGCTGGTTTTGATAATAAAATAGGATAGTTGGCAGTCTAAAGCAACAATACCTAACAGGTAAAATTCTTAGCATCGCCCGTTTTAGTTATTAGGGCACAGTGCATAATTTGCTTTTTAGTTTGAAATGAATTTTCGCATGGGAAAAGTGTAACCTGATGTGAAAAATTGAATAAGATTATCAATTAAATCTAGCATTCTGTCTGTAGATAATAATTTAGATCACTCTATGAACACTTGAGTGCTAACTATTAATGCCTCTGATTCCTGGACGTCCTTCTGCTTAATTTATTCACAGAAATGACGAGGCGGTACTTGTGCTGAAGTGCAAAAGCAAGTAATGGAGACAGGCTCTCCGCATGGAACTTAATATTTGAATCATTACTGTTATAGAATTGGGGGGTGGGTGGGGTGGGGGGGTTACTACATTTAATTTTTTATTGGTGACCAAAATAGGATACCTGCTGATGTTGAGATTTAGCCAATTGTGTATGGCTAAATAACATAATAGGCCTGGCGCTCCATTGGCGATATTAACTTTGCGTGTTGAGTGAGGTCGCGGACTACTGTTTTAAACCTTTATGCCATTACAAATCCCAATTCTATAGTTTCCTGCAATCTAAAAATTTGGTTTGTAATGAGCATTCGTCAGCGCGTTGGTCCGAGCCTTACCTACGCTAAGGCCCTGTACTTGTGGATTGGACTATAAACTATTAATGTTATTTTCAGTGTTTTAAAACTTGGCAATTTCCCATCTAGATTGCCAATGCGGATGGGAATCAAGTCTGAACCCATATAGGTCCTCTCCTAATTCCCACTAAAATCCTTTTTTTTTTATTTTAAAGGTTATATAATATTTTATTAAGTCCTTTCTTTATCTCCACTATATAAATCTCTTTTTTATTTAATTTCTAATATTTTCTTGGATCATTGATTTGGATTAGTTTAGATCTGATCCGAATCACCGATCCTGTATCGGATCGTAGGTGAACGATCTGCCCCATAGATCGTGGTTTTGAAACACTGGGTCTTTCAGTCACAAGTATTGATTATTCATACCCATACCCTGTATGATCCAATGCTCTATGGTAGGTGGGTCTTTCAGGTCACAAGTATTCATTATTCATACCTACCCTCTATGATCCAATGCTCTTCGGTTGGTGAATGTTTCCTGGGGGGATGGTGATTCTCAATTGGAGACATTATTTTCCCAAATCCATTAGCAGTAAGAGCGGTACACGTTTTGAGACATTAAAGTCATTTCTATCGAGAGATGAAAGTTTTTACCTTAACGGAGAAGATTTTCGAGTCTCAGAAAATTACCTTCCCATGGTTTACCTGCAATATTTACTACGATAAAGCTTTTCATGAGAAGAGGATTTTCCGGATCTCTTGAAACAAAGCTCAAAATGGCTGAAACTAGGAAGAAAACTTCCAGCCGCAAAATTCACGTTGTAATTCACTAAGTTATAGAAATACAAACACAGTTTTACTCCAAAATTCTGGAATTTATGCTGGCCCAAATTCAAATTGTTTAGCTTCTCTTCTCCTAGAGAATTGAGATTACCGTATTCACAGGAGCATATATATAAAAGAACAAAATCAATAGATCAATTGAACTCATTTGTTTGTTTTGTCGATTACGATCAATGAAAAGAAAAAGGTATTTGCAATTCTTGATACCAATCCTTCTACTCATGATTTAAGATTCTCTATTTAATGAAATTGAAAAAAATTGATTTTAAGTTATTGACCAACCCAAATGAAAGAAACTTCCATCTTGATTAAAACTAAATTCTAGTAATTGGTAATTGTTCTTGAACCAATGGGTTTATTCATAGCTCTTTTTGTTTGATTCAAATTCATAATTGTTTGAATTGTGTAATTTCCAACTACATATAGTGGTAACTAACCCAAGGCAATCTGATTATAATTCAATTCGTGCCGATCGTAAGTGGAAAGTTCATATTATTCAGTCATTGATAAACAATTTGTGGGGCAACACTCAACTATCTAGCAAATCCAGTATAACATGAAATTCAAGGATTTTGTGCATATTTAGTAGATTTTTTTTAAAAAAAAATTACATACAATGAATGGAAGACTCCAAATCTTATTAGAAATTGTCACAATGTGTATAACACAAACGAATAGAATTTTACAATGAATGTAATCACACAAGTACACATCAGCCCAATGCTTGAAATAAAGATCAATCTGTTCCTCTCTGAATCTTTGCAGTACTTAACTGAAGCTTGGCACGTTCTAGACTCGGTTTACTTCTTTTCAACCCATGCCATTCCTCCTCGAACTGATTATTCAAGGTTCCAAGGTCGGACAGCTGCTTGTGCAAAGCTTCCAAGTTCACCAATGGTACAGTAGTTGGTCGTCCATGAGCACACTGCAATAGTGAAACCGCGACTTTTTATCTTTGAGACTTGAATGATGCAGAACCTGAACCATGAACTCTGAAACAAACTGAAGCTACGAAATTACCTGGAAACAAAGGGATGTTGCCCTGAGTTCCTCCACTATGAGCGAGCATTCAGAAGGTAACAAGGAATCCCCGAACATGATGGCACCTTTATTTAGTCATGTGATATGTCATATGGTGTTAGAAACAGCGAGCTACTCCTGCCAGAGATTTCTATATTTTGTGTTGTATTGAAGTTTACCTCTGCATGCTTTAAAGTTGAGTATTCGCAGCACTGACGGAGGTACTGTTGATGACCCATCTGTCTCCACAAGCTGAACAACAATGGTGCTAGTTACTTAACATGAAGAGAGATGCGTGCTATAAAGGGCAATATCAATAAATTGCAGAACTTTTTTTTTGTCATATACACTGCACTAGGGGAGAGCCATCAGCATTGAGAGAGAGAGAGAGAGGATGGGCGACGTACTCATAAAAGTTGAATAAAATAGTTAAATATAGGCGTGACATTCAAGGGAGTGATGAAAGATTGCCAACCAAAGGAAAGTGCAGTGAGATTGTAGATGTTATGCAATCACCTACCACACCCAACTTCGAAGGTTTGTTATATTTGATTGCTTAGCAAATCTGTCACTTTGTGAAAGTCTGAGGATCTCTATCACCAGAAGTATCGCTCTCAATAGTCTTATTAGTGAAGATTGATCCTGACAGATATATATGTTGACTGAATTAAAAACCAATATCTCAAGCAACGTATTACTTACGTTCTAATGTCTGGGAGCTCAAAGTGGATTGCTAAAATAAACAGCTGATTTGTAACGATTTGGAACCTCGCTCTTTATAAGAGGATGAACCACATAGAAGTTGTCGTCCCATTTGGAAATATATGTATGCATACTACCTTCCTCAATGACATTATAGACATTTCATCTTTATTCCTGTAGAAATTGCTTTAGGGTCTGTTTGACAAAACAGAAACTCATTATTCAAATTTATGGAAATATGAATAACACCATTGCCAGATATGAATTATATATTATACGGATATGTATTTTTCTGTGCATGTTTGATTATATTTTATAAAAAAAGGCGGCAAACAATGCATCACACAATTCCCTATCTTTCTCTCTCTAATTCCATTCAAAGGGTAGCATCTTGTGACGAGACCAAATCACGAGTCTCAAAACCAAGCTCTCTCTCTCTAATATCCACAGTGCAATTCCACTCTCTTTCTCGACCCATAATGCAGTTTCTCTCTCTAGATCTGCAATGTACCCCAAATGCCAAGCTCGTTCTTCTTGGCCCTACAAACAAGACACAAGGTTCCCTATTTGAGCTCTTGCAATCCCGGAGAAAACAAAGGACTTCCTTCCTTGAAATCAGAAGAGAAAATACTGAGGCCTCAAAATCTACATAAAGAGTAGGCAAAGATAGATAAGCAAGCATTGCCAAAACCTTCCTCTCCATTTCTGCTAGGTGACCTCGAAAGCCTATTGGTCCACCACTTTCATGGCGTACTAGAAATCCCCTCCTCTCAATCTAGAGAGAGAAACATTGCCAATATTGACTGTTCCAACCTCCTTATTAGTCTAAAACCTAAAATTGAGACCACCATGCTTGATTTTTGCAGCTTTAATGGCTGCCAATGTCGACTGATCCAACCTCCAAATCAGTCTAAAACCTAAAATTGAGACCCCCATGCTTGATTTTTGCAGCTTTAATGGCTTCCCAGGCTGAGTCGTGGGTTTTGTGGGGCTTCAATGGAATGACCAGAATTTTATTTTCTGATTTCTGGCAATGTTTTCCAAGGAGAGGTGGCTCAAGAGGCTCACTGTCGCAGTCTGATGAGTAGTCGGACATTTTCTTGTAGGATGGTTTAGAGAGAGAGAAGTGGGATAGAGAGAGGGTTTTGGGAAGAGTGGTATAATAGAAACAAAATCCAAAAATTCCAATTTTTGAAAAGGCCACAGTAGAAATATTGCTCTTTCCTTGAAAGCAAAATGTAACAAGATAGGAAAGTATAATAACAAGAAAGGAAAATGTATATTACACCATTGTATTACTATACAATGAAAGAACCACCACAAGAAAAAGTGTGGGGCATAATTATTTTTTCCAAGAGTTCATCTCTCTAAAATTTCTTTATGGTATCAGAGTGATTATCGATCCCAATCTCATCTTCCATGTTAGTTGTTCCTCTATTGAATGTAAGTCTCTCTCTCTCTCTCAAAACACTATTGTCCTTCCTGTTACATATCCGTTTTCTCACTTCATATTTCCCAACCAACTTTTTCAATTTGTTTGCAAAATTTGTTCCTTGCAATTTTTGTATCTCTCTCTTGAAAATTTTGTCCCTTACAAATCTCAATTGGTTTGCAAATTTTCCATCGTGCAAACAATAAATAAATTGGCCTTTCAATTGCGTTTCAAATCTCCCCCCCTTGCAAACCAAATTCCGTACCTTTGCAAAAAAAATTGGCCTTTCAATTGGTTTGCAAAATTCATCCCTTTGCAAACCAAATTTCAGCAAATAAAATTCCGTCACTTCGCAAATTTCAGCCCTTTACAAACAAAATTTAGTCTCTTTGTTCCAATGAATACTATCTCCTCAATGTCCAAGTATCCCTATCCTTCCACCCTTAATATACGAAACTTTGTGTTTATTAAGTTGACACATAACAACTATCTATTATGGGAAACTCAAATGCTTTCTCTCATTGAGAGTAAAGAACTTTTTGGATTTATTAATGGTGATTGTCTTACACCAAGTCAAAAGATTACCTCTCCTGATGGTAAGAGTGAAATAAAAAACCCAGAGTACAAATCATGGCTAAAGTCCGACCGGCTTGTTAAAGCCTGGATCACATGGACATTATCAGAAGAGTGTCTTGGCCTTGTTGTTGGCCTCAAGACTTCTGTAGAAGTTTGGAAATGCCTGAAAAATACCTATGCAAGTAATTCTCAAGCTAGGGGAGTTCCAACTTACCCAGCAAGTCCAACTCTGTAATTCCCTATCAGAATACATATGGAAATTCAAGAGTATATATGATGATTTGGCGGCTATTGGAAAACTTGTACTAGCTAAAAATAAGGTCTTCTGGCTTCTTAATGTACTTGGTAAAAAATATGAGAGTTTTGCTACCACTGTGCTTAAGCCTCTGATTCCTTCATATTATGAAATTATACCCTCTTCTTTAAAGCCATAAGATTAGAAATCAGCCCCATGTCTTTGAAGAATATCAAATCCAAATAAAAATATGGCCTTTGTTGGACAACAAATTTTTTTGGGCCCAACAAAGGTAACCAAAATTACAAAGGTAGAGGAAAGAACAACTTTGGTGGTCAACGTTTCTTCAACTCTCGAGGACGTGGGTTTGTTCAAACTAGCTAGATCAGTAATGTGGGTTGTGGGATGCCCCAGAAAGTGGCGCTGCACTTCCTATGCGACACATGGATCAAGGCCTCCAACAAGATTCCCAGATACAACAGTCAGCTCAGACACTTCGAGAAAAATGTTAAATTTGTGGGAAACTTGGACATACTGCATTGAAGTTTTGGCATCGATTCAACTACACGCACCAAGTAAAAGATATTCCTCAGGCCCTTCCTGCAATGACTATAGCTGATTCACAAGATTCAGAATGGTTCTCGGACACAGATGCCTCCACTCATATGATAGGAGATCCAGGTAAGTTTCTAAATCTTCGTCCCTATAGAGGCACAGATAGAGTCATGGTTGGGAATGGTGAACAATTAAATATTTCACATATTGGTGATGCAAATATTACTATAGGGTTTGGAAAATTCAATGTTTCTAATGTTCTTTTGGTGCCTAAAGTGAAAAAGAACTTGTTATTTGTTAGTCAATTTACAACAGATTTCCCTTGTACTTTTGAGTTCTCATCAAATGATTTTTTAATTAAGGAAACAAGCACAGAGAGAACTCTGGCTAGTGGCGTAAAAAGGGAGGTAGAAGTGAAACAAGATTTATTCTCTAATCGGAATAAAAGAACATTAGAAGATGTGTGGCATCAATATCTTGGGCATCCTCAAAATAAAGTTGTTCGTTACTTATAATCTAAATAGTTGATTAATGTTGATGCATGGAATAAATCTCATTCTGTATGTGCTAATTGTCAGATGGGAAAAAGTTGTAAGCTTCTTTTTAGTTGTGTTGATAAAACCTCTACTAAACCTCTTTTTAAGATTCATTCAAACTAATGGGGTCCTGCTCCAATTTTATCTAATCAGAGTTATCAATTTTATGAGGTGTTTATTGATGATTATACTCATTTTACTTGGATTGATCATTTGAAACGAAAATCTGAAATTTTTTTTGCCTATGAAATTTCATCGTATGGCTGCAAAGAGGTTTGATAAAAGAATTCGAGTTTTTCAATGTGATGGAGGTGGTGAATTTGCTAAGAAAGAATTTATTAATCAACTTACTGGCAATGGAATCATGCAACAATTATCTTGTCCGGGAACCCCTGAGCAAAATGGAATAGCAGAAAGGAAACATAGAAATATTGTAGAATTGGGCCTTACAATGATGTTTCATGCAGAAATTCTTAAAAGATTTTGGGTTGAAGCCTTTCATACTGCAGTATTTGTTATCAACAGAATTCCCTCTACTAGTTTAAAAATGCATTCACCATACTCATTATTGTTTTGACGCTTACCAGACAACTCCTCACTTCAAGCATTTGGTTGTCGGTGTTTTTCGTATCTTCGACGCTATGCTACAAATAAATTTAGTTCCCCGTTCTCTTCCATGTGTATTCTTGGGCTATAGTGTCTAACATAAGGGCTACAAATGTCTACATCCACCTACAGGACAAGTCTATATCTTTAGACATGTTGTATTTGATGAAAATATACTTCCTTATGCTAACCCCAATTTTTTGTTTGATAGCGCTCAGGTTCAGGGGGAACTATCCACCTATGTGTTCCCCACCTATGCAGAATGGTCAGAGTGTTATGAGTCTGACATACATGCTCCTTCCTCTTCTGATTCATCAGTTCTACATGAACCACCTATACGGGGGCGCCTTTCATGTATCTGGTACCTCAGGTCCTTCTTTGCCCATCACCAATGATAGCTCTCCAACTTCTCTTATAGAGGGAGATGTTACCACTGCAACACTGAACCAAGATGTACATGATGATGCAACACATAATCATGGTGATAAAATTGTTGCCACTCAAGAAACCAACCAATCTACTTTTTTACCAGCCTCTGAGTATCCTCATCATCACATGGTCACAAGATCTCAAGATGGTACTCGAAGACCTCGGATTCTCCCATCAATGGCAGCAACCTCAGATACTCTTACTATCAAAGCTATTCCTTCTGAACCTAAAACCATTAAGTCTGCCTTGGGACATCCAGGTGGCATTGTGAGATGGAAGAAGAAATTGAAGCCCTCCATATTAATTCAACTTGGGAGCTAGTTCCGCGTCTTCCAGGTATAAATGTTATTGGTTGATGTTGGGTCTATAGGATCAAATTGAAGTCTGATGGCAGTCTAGAAAGACTTAAAGCCAGACTTGTGGCTAAAGGATACAATCAGGTTACTGGAATTGATTTCTCTAAAACATTCAGTCCGGTTATTAAGCCTGCTAGTATTCAAATTGTGCTCACCATAGCTATTGTGTGCCATTGGCCTATCAAACAACTTAATGTGAAAAATGCTTTCCTGCATGGTTTTCTTGAGGAACCTGTATTTATTAAACAACCTCCTTGATTTGTGAGCTCAAAATTTTCAAATCATATATGCAAATTGAGAAGAGCTTTATATGGTCTCAAGCAAGTACCTCGGGCCTGGTTTGATCGATTTAGTGCTTATTTATTACCATTGGGGTTTCATTGCAGCATAACTGATTCATCTTTATTTATTTATCGCACTACTCAAGACACTATTATCCTTCTCCTTTATGTTGATGATATTATTGTTACTGGTGATAATTCAGATCTTCTAGAATGATTCATTTCCCAACTTAGAACGAAATTTGCAATGAAAGATCTTGGACCTCGTCACTACTTTCTTGGCATAGAAGTATCTTATTTTTCAAGTGAGATTTTTCTCTCACAAAGCAAATATGTCTGGGATCTTCTTGATCGTGCTTAGATGCTCAATGCCAAACATATTTCAACATCAATGGCAATGAAAAATAATATTCATGGGAATTCTGATCCATTTCTTGATCCATCTCTTTATCAGAGCATTGTTGGTGCACTTCAATACATTACCAGAACACGGCCAGACCTTTCCTATTGTGTTAATATCATGTGTCAATTTATACATGCCCCTACAATTGCCCATTTTCAGGCAGTCAAGTGGATTCTTTGTTCTCTCAATGGTACACAATTATGTGGTATAAGAATCTTCTCTACTAGTTCCCTTGAGTTATATGCCTTTTCTGATGCAGACTGAGCTGGGTGTCCAACCATTTGTCGGTCAACTACTGGTTTCTGCACCTATCTTAATTCCAACTGCATATCTTGGAGTGCTAAGAAACAGTCGAATGTGGCTCGTTCCAGTGCTGAAGCAGAATACCGATCTATGGCATCTACTGCTGCAGAATTGACGTGGCTTTCTTTTATTCTTCGGGATATTGGGGTGCCTCTTCCTCAACCACCAACACTTTTTTGTGACAATATTAGTGCTCTCTACATGACAATTAATCATGTTTTTCATGCAAGGACAAGCACATTGAGTTAAACTATCATTTTGTATGTGAAAAGGTTGCTCTTGGATTACTTATCACTCGTTTTGTTTCCTCTCGCAATCAAGTCGCTGATATCTTCACTAAGCCTTTGCAATCAAGTCGCTGA